AATAAAACTAGCAATGAGATGCAGCCTTGGTCTGATGCTAGAAGCAAGTCATTTGTCATTTTAAGTGCAGTTTATGTGCTATGATGTTGCAGTAAATTGCTCTTTTACTAAAGTAGTGGGTACAGGATCCAATGAACATGTTGTTGGTTTGGATGCAGTGATAAGTTTATTTAGCTCTTCCTGTCCTATAGTTGCACTGCAGTTTTTATTTGGAAGCGATTCAAAAGGGGCTGATTCAAAAGGTTGTCAGAGGTTCTACAATTATAATTATATTTCTGATGCTATCGATTTTCACAGTGAAGAAAATCATAAAGTCATTTTTCTTCCATTTGAAGATCTGCAAATTCTTTTTAAAAAAGCATCGTAGGGCCCTGGCAGTTTATACATGGTAGCCAGAGCATGAGATAGCAGGGATTTCTTTCTCGTGTCTGAAAGTGTAACATTAAGCACAAGTCCTTCAAATGAGTTAAACGTGTGCTGATTTCTGAGTAATTTTAAGAATCTCTCTAAAAATGGTTGCAACACCGCCACCACGACCACTCAGATGGGCTCATGCTTATACAGTAACAGTAGCTTGGTGGAGTATTTAGACTGATACAGTCATTTCATTTAATAACCATCTCTTTCTTACCTTTGTATAATCTGAAGAACTTTCGTCACAAAGAACCTTTTGTGAAATAGAAAGGTTCTTCAGATGTTAAAGGTTCTTTATGGAACCATTTAGACAAAGGGCCTGTTTACACCCGGTCATCACTTTCCTTTTTTCGCTGATCGGATATCTATCAGATTTTTTAAAACATTTCCATTTACACTTGGCCACATTAATGTGTCGTCGCAAAATGGATTTAAATCCGATCTTCAATTCCCGCGCTATATTTAAATTTAATGGAGTTCACGTCAACGAAATCAAAAGATAAGCGCTGCTTTTATTAACAGCCCATTTCAAGATCAAAGACCGCAATAGGAGAGTGCGCGCCATCAGCACTGGAAAAATAAGTTGGTCTTATTACTTTTAATGAAGATGATTGTGTGTTGACCATCTGCGTCTTACTTTGTTTCATTTGCGGCAGTTTGCGCGTCGACTTGCTGTATTCAGCTACTTGTCTGCGGCATTGCATGTTGCATTAGCGCAGTCATATCTGACTATAATGTCATATAGCCTTTAACACGCTCTCACACGTTTATTATTTTAACATTTTGGGAGGAGTAAAATTTACATATGTGGTTACAACAACCAGATGCATATACACTTGTCCAGTTTCGTCTGGAATGCGGCCCAGACCACCTCCTGAAGTGGTTTGAGCGATCGGATTTATATCCGTCTCGAATGCGTTTCGGAGGGCATTTACACCTGGTCTTTTCACGATCGGATAGCGATCCGATCAGACAAAACGCATGAAGCGAACAGGTGTAAACTGCCCCAAAAAGGTTCTTCTATGGCATCGTGAAGCACCTTTATTTTTAAGAGTGTACACCTTATTTTCTCAAAAACACATAGATGTTGCTTAAACATTATTGAATACAGTGTAGCCAATGAAGCCGGTGCTTCCGGCTTTGCTACCGTTCGGACTTTCTTGCTTACTGCTCTGCACTTTGCTCCGTATTTCTGTACTTTTCTCCAATTTTTCTAAGAGTTTTACTTCAGCAAATCAGCACAGTGCTCAAACAACACATTTTTGGCACAAACACTAAAACTAAAAACTCTTTGGGACTGGAATAATACTACAAAAAGGGGACTTTTGCCTCCCACTGCCAGCAGCTTACATTCTGGAGACGGGAAAACACAGCTGTCTACATTCAAACAGACGAGAGGGAAAATGTCTCCTGTTGAATTTACTTGCTGCATGAACTGCCACAAACTTCTACAAAGGATTGCGGTTCTTGAAACAAAGTTACTTGCTGGACTTCCAAAACAGGCAGAACACTCAGCAGTAGTTGTGGAAAGAGTACTAAGAAATTGTACGTAAGTAAAAGTATTGCTACTTAAGGAATCATTTACTTGAGTACAAGTAAAAGTACTGAAAAATAATATGACTCAAGTAAGAGTAAAAAAGTAGTTTGCTGAAAAACTGCTCAAGTCACTGCGTTACAAAGTACTTTAGCATTAGGGAGCAGGATTAACCCTATAACACACATGTACTTTAATTTCTGTTTCACAAGTGAGACCCAGGAAATCCATTATAAGGACAAATGCATCAGATATCACTGCAGCTGAATAACATGCAGATAGAGACACTTTGACTGATGAAACGTGGAAGACAATAAACACCCAATTGCAATGCAATGCTAATTGACATAGCTTGTATCACAGTATAGAATTTTATCAAAAATATTTTCTGTCTCACTGTGATAAGAAGCAACATGGAACCACAGAAGCTAACTGTTTCAAACACGACTGATGTTACATAGTGATTTTGGAGAAAAACATGATACTAGTCTCATAAATAGTCATGTTTGACGCTATGTTAAGCAAACATACCTATCCCTGTTGCCAGGAGCAACTGTTTTATAACTCATTTTGAAAAGTACATTCACATATAAGATTATGTGGTTGTTTTTAAGAAGGGCAAAACCATCAGATTGTCACGAGTATCTCATATTGCTGCAATAGCATCCTCTACCCCAGATTCGGCTATGACAAGGCTTGTGAATACTGGTATTCTACCACCCCCTATACATCTTGAGAACAGATTTGAAGCATTAATGAATGCGGGTGAGGAATCCCCAAATGTGATTAAACATGGATCGGATCAGCCAGCAGCTAACATCGCTACTAACAGACGCTCAAGGTCGAGCAGACAGCGGCTTTCAGCTCAGAGCGCAGCCGAGCCCAGGACTCTGATAGTGGGCGACTCCATTATCAGAAACATCAGTAGCAGAAATACATCAACATGCTGCCTTCCTCAAGCAACAGTTTCTGATATGAACAAGGAACTTCGGAACATTCTAATGAAGCACACTTTGAAGACTCAGTGGACCACTCCCAGCAAGGGGAACTAACATGTTTTCACGGTTGCTTGGGCTGAACACATGGCTACAAAGATCCTGCAATATAAAAGGAGTGAACTTCATCGACAACTTTAATCTTTTCTGGGGCCAAAGACAACTGTTTAAACCGGATGGCCTCCACTCAAACAAACTTGGTGCAAGAGTACTTAAGGACAATATCTACTACTCCATCCGTCATCCTTCAGCAGAGTGTGCCAATCCACTCAACCTGAATAGCACACACACACCTGGTCCGAGTCGTCATGTGGCTGACACATCCCACAAGGACACTGATAAAAATGTGAGAGCTCTCCGGCCACTGCAACAAAGCCAGGGCCCAAACCCTCCTCTATCTGCTGTAGGTGAACCAAAAATAACTGATAGCAGGTCTCAGTGATATGTGTCGGGTCCCCGCTATGATAGCAGCAACATTCACAATTGTTTACAGAACAAGCGGGAACCCAGTGTGCCTGTAGTTTTCTCTATTTCTGTTTTATCATGTGATAGAAAGTCTAAGGCCTTCTCAAGCTGTACGGCTGACTCATCTAATCTGCGGCCTGTTAGGCGTCAAACTAAGATTGCTGTTTAGACAAAAACCAATGCCATAAAGTTAGCATTTTTAAACATTTGCTCACTAAAAAATAAATAATTTCTGATCAATGGCTTAATCACCACAACTTGGATTTTATGTTTTTAAACGAAACATGGCTAGAAGACAGCTGCAGTGCAACAGTCCTCAATGAAACAGCCCCTCCTAACTTCACTTTCATGAGTGTTTGCAGGACTGTTAGGAGAGGTGGAGGTGTAGCTGCTCTATTTAAAGATGTCTATCAATGCAAGCAAGTGTCATTTGGTCAGTACTTGTCTTTTGAATATCTAGGTATTGTGCTGAAAGGTACTCCACGCATTCTGTTTATTATTATTTACAGGCCTCCAAAATTCTCCCCAGCCTTTGTTGAAGAGTTTACATAACTGTTATCAATGATTTCCTCAGTGTTTGACTGTTGTGCTATTGCAGGGGATTTTAATATTCACATAGGTAATGCAGAAATCAATACTACAAAATAAATTACAACTGTTTTAAACACTTTTTACCTGATTCAGCATGTGCATTGACCCACACACAGTCGAGGACATACTCTAGATTTACTCATCAGTATAGAGGTCTAAACATTTTATCCATTGTTATTAAGGACGTAGCACTATCTGATCACTTCTGTATTTTCTTTGATATATTAATCTCTGCTACCACTGAATCTAGATCTGTCTCTGTCAGAGATGCATTAATGAGAACAACAGTGTGCTATTTATGAAGGCTATATCTTTAACACCAAGCATTTCTGCAGACTCTGTTGATCTTCTCCTTGATTCCTTTAACTCAAAAGTTAAGAATGTTATTGATGAGATTGCTCCTGCAAAAGTTATTAAGAAAACTGACATACAAAAAGCACCCTGGAGAAAAACAATAGCAGTACAGAGTATGAAAAGACAATGTAGAAAAGCTGAGCGGACGTGGCGGAAGACGAAACTTGAAATTCACTATAGCATATATAAAGACAGCCTTCGTACTTTCAATGTGGAACTAGGCAAAGCCAGACAGTCATTCTTCTCAAACCTTATAAACAGTAACTTAAACAACACTCACACTCTTTTTGCTACTGTTGAGAGACTAACAAACCCCCCAAGTCAGATTCCCAGTGAAATGCTTTCTGACAGCGAATGCAATGAGTTTGCTTCCTTCTTTTCTGAGAAAATCAGTAATATTAGAAAGGCGATTAGCACATCCTAAAGTTATGCAAAGGTCAGACAGATTCAACTGCAATTTCAAAAAGAAGTTACTATGTCTGTTTTTGAAGCAATTGGTAGCAAAATGTTGGAAGAAATAGTACAGCACCTTAAAGCATCAACCTGCGACCTTGACACACTTCCACATCTTATTTCAAAAGTGTGTTAAACTGTTTAGAAGCAGATCTCTTCTGAAGAGAAGAGACTTCTCTCTGGGACTTTCTAAACTCCCTGAAAACTGCAGTTGTTAAGCCTCTCTTGAAAAAGAGCAATCTTGATAACACCATATTGAGTAACTACAGACCAATATCAAATCTACCTTTTATAGGCAAGATTATTGAAAAGGTTGTTTTTAATCAGTTTAACTATTACTTAACCTCAAATGGATACCTGGACAATCTGGTTTCCGACCGCATCACAGCACAGAGACAGCACTCATAAAGATAATAAATGATATTCCCTTAAACTCTGATTCTGGCAAAATATCAGTGCTGGTACTAATAGATCTCAGTGCTGCGTTTGATACTGTCGATCATAACATACTACTAGAGAGACTGGAAAACTGGGTTGGGCTTTCTGGGATGGTACTCAAATGGGTCAGGTCATACTTAGAAGGGAGAGACAATTATGTGAGTATAGGAGAGCATAAGTCTAAGTGGACGTCCATGAAATGCAGAGTCCCACAAGGATCAATTCTTGCACCGCTCATTTAGCCTGCTCCCACTAAGTCAAATAATGAGAAAGAACCAAATTGCCTATCACAGCTATGCAGATGACACAATTCCTTTTTACACACTGTGGCATTCATTTTAAGAACAGAAACATATCAATCATTATTTTTCTTTTGGCTTTTCAATAACAAGTATAAGTTCCCTTTCATGGGAACTTTGAACTGCGTCCTCTAGGGGTCGCTATGGGGGAACGCCTCGTCGTGACCCGTGTCTGAAGCATACATTGAAAAAACACCAACTCGTTGGCCGGCGACAGCCATGACGTCACTACCGGTGTGACTATAGCATAAATAGGCGCCGGGAGCACACATCATTCTCTTCTTCGTCTTCATTGACTGTTTTGTTTGAAGAGTGCATTTCAGTGGTAAGAGCGATCTCTTTTCATATCATTATGGCGAGCACTAGCAAAGCATTTAGAGGATATGTGCATCCGTGTGGTCGTTGTTTAACATCTGATAACACACACAATCTATGCGTTATTTGTTTGGGCGAAGAGCACGCACACGATGTCTCCGAGGGGGCAATCAGCATGCACAGCGAGCATTTTTTCAAGGGAAAAGCTCCGCTCTCGTTTGTCTCTCTTTTCGAGGAAAGAGGGGCAGCCATCTGCTTCCTGCGATTCAGGATCCGCCACTGCTGAGGCACGAAGGAGAATGAGCTCGGCTGTGGATGAGAGTGAGCCGCTGGAGGATGACGTTATTTCATTAACATTGTCTGATCCAGGGGCCAGTGCTCTGCTGGAAAGCAGGAAATGTCTGAGGAGGGCAAAAAGCTGAGGCTGAGCTTTCCCAATCCTCCTGCCCTGCGTATATGAGCTTTTGAAAGTTATGGGTCACGCCACGGCGAGGCTTTACTTGCCGTGAAGCGGGTGAAAAAATATATATGT